TCCGTTCAGGAGTAGCCTTGACCCGGGGTACTGGCAGGAGTTAGGGAAGAGGAAACTTGAAGAGTATCAGCTAAGAGAGGACCCGGTCCCTATCAGGGGCAACTTACAACTATGGCAACTACAGGAACATTAGGACTCCTTTCCTATCCCTGGATTATACTGCTTTTGATGTGGGATACCAGCCTACTGGACTAGACTTCCCTTCTCCTGGTCTCCTACGAAACATGAACACAATCACCTCCTTCAACAACATTGACAAGAAGGAGTTACTTGATACCTGTGGTCGTCTCATTTTGGAGAGTATTAAAAATGGCGATTGCCTTAAAAACCCGTCACTCCTGACGTTATTCCTGTTACTCACGTACGCTGACTTAAAGAAATATCGTTTCGATTATTGGTTTGGATTCCCTGCCCTCTCCCCCTCCAGTCCATTCACTTATAGATCTATTAGTCGTTTGGATACTCTTTTTAAAGACTCCGACCTTCAGCATTTGGTTTCTCATTATGATGACTTTCAATCGGAACACAAAAGTGTTGGATTCTTCCTAGTCGACTGTTCCTAAAATAACTGGCTGGGAAAGAAACAAAGTAACTGACATTAATAATATACATGTACATGTATTGGGGAATGTAAGAATAATCATAGATAGTAGACGGGAAGGATGGATTGGAAACAAACGCATCTACGGAAATAATGCTCGCTTCGCCTAGCCCGTATACTTTCCGGTCACAACAAACACGTGCAGAGAAATGATGGATTCTAGTGTTGTCAGAATGGCTACTGCATCTATTTTGATGGAAGAAATGGATGGTATAAGAGCGGCTGTAATGAAGACAAAGACATGCATTCAATGAAACATGTATTATAATACATTTTACAAGAATTTAAAATGTAATAAAGAATGTCATTCAGATAAAAAAAGTACACAAAGTATGGTCCAAAAAAGACAATAAAGCAACAGTACTACAAATAGGTTTTGCAAATACTTGGATATCAGTCTTCTATGCAACAGAGCTGGTAAATATCTATCATACAGGGATAAAAATCAATAAGTAAATATTGTCATTTAATAGAAAAAAGTACAAAAGTTATCACAAGTCTTTGGCAGACATTTTCAGCTGACTAAATGCTTACTAAAGCAGTTTGGATTTGGAAGCGCTTTTATCAACTATAAGCTTAAGATGAACCAAGTTAACACTGATTTATATAGCAGTTAACTTACAATAAGAAAGGCAGTCATATAGTACAGTCCACCATTTTGGAGAAGTGCGCATTAATAACAAAATCTAGGCGTTTCTATTAGGCGTTTCCAATCCATCCTTCCAGTCTACTATCTATGGAATAATGGAGAATTGTCTCCTTTTCAATTTTGGTAAAATTTAAGCAAAGTCCCTGTACTATAGTGCAGGGACTTTTGTCTAATTTTTGAACAACAATAATTTTGTCCATTGTTTTTAGCTCTGAAATTACCCCAAATTTCTATCACATTTTCTGATACATATTGATGTCCTTATGCTTTGTAGAAAGTTTGAGCTAATTCTGACTAATATTTTTTAAGTTACGGCCATTTTTAAAAATCCCAAAATTCTGAAGAATACCCAAGGCTATAGCCCATGGTTTTTTCCAAAAAATGGCTCTGAAATCACTCCAAATTTTCATTACGTTTCCTGATACATATTGATGTCCTTATGCTGTGTAGAAATCCCAAAATCCTGTGGGTACCTCATGTACAGTACCTTACTGTTAGTCTCACTGGCCAGACTCAA